ATGGTGCAAACCAGATGTCAATATTGCACCCCTAATCAAAATGGCATCTATTTTAATTATTTCAGATGAGCAAGCAAGATAAAGTCTAGAGGGCCCCAGTTAACTTTAAAAATTTAATATTTTAATACTGTACCGACCAAAAGATGAAATCTCTTTTTTATAAAGGTATGCTGAGTTTAGTTTTCCTGCTATGACCTCTAGTTTGCGCCATTTAATTTGTCTTGAGAAACCCTTTAAAATGAGGGGTCAAATGATAGGGGTTTACATTTGAAAATTTGGGGCTGCCCCCAAAATACCCCATTTTGGGGGCCAGGTACAAGTTCTAACTTTAATAAAAAAGTGCATTTTTGAATGTTGTAAACATGTGCCGAGTTTGGTTCTTCCACTGCCACATGTTATAAAGTTAACTGGGGATGTCCAGACTTATCTTGCTTGCTCATCTTAAATTAAAATGGCTGCCATTTTGAATAGGGATAATATCACCCCTGCACCCCTTAAAATGAGGGGCCGGATGATAGGTGTTTACATTTGAAAATCTGGGACTGCCCCCAAAATACCCCATTTTGGGGGCTAGGGCAAAATTGTAACTTTGATGAAAAAGTGTCATTTCTTATCTTTTAAATATGTGCCGAGTTTGGATTTCCTACTGCAACGCGTTAAAAAGTTAACTCTGGGGATTCCAGACTTTTGCCTAACCCTGTATATATATACATATATTAAAATTTGAACGAATGTAGTTTTGGCCTCTGGGGATGTCAAAATAAAAAAGTAAATCGGTACTACATACAACCTGTGATATATTATCGGATGAATAATATTATTAATTCTAAATGCGATTTTTGAAATCAAAATTGTGAGAGTTTTGACAGGTCGCAGGATGATGGGAGAGGGCTCAAGTAAATTAAACACATAATTCTCTTATTTATTTTCAACCCATTGCGGGTGAATTCAATGACTGAAGGAATTGCGTAGTCCCAATAACTATTATATATATATATATATATACGAGTACACGTCCTTCGTACAGGGTTGGTATACAATGCTAATTGTGGATAAATACTCGTGCTTTGCATTTGCAATGAGAGAGGACACATTTTGAGAAAATTTAGTTTACTATAATCTACGGTATACTATAGTATATAGAACATCTACCATAGGCTTAATGTTCTACCACTTCACATAAAAAAACACCATCAATTTCGGGATCCGTCCAATCGGCTTCGCCCCAGTGGCTCTGGAGTTTCCTCATGTTAACCTTATGAGTACCACTTATATTTAAATGGAATTAAAGAATCTTAACAGCTGTTTCAGCAAAAGAATTTAATTCTGTGATGTCCAATAGCATTAAAAAGTTAATAGGTTTACCAACAGGGTGCAGCCACGGCCGCATTTAACTCAAGGACGCGGCCTTCGAAATGGCAACGTCGCAAGTGGTGTAACAGCTGTTTTGTTTGGAAGCAGCTAATGGTATTTGTGTATTTACGAAAAATTGGTTACTGGACTATGACAATATTCACTCCGCTTAAAATGTACGGATAAAGATTTTTAATTCGTATTGTTTTGGTTTTCAATTCTGTGTGGTTTATTTTAAATATTTTAATAAAATTATGTTCATTAATTTAAATTTAAATCAATAAAGAATGAATTAATGGGCTGATGAAAACCTGTCTGCCATTTTATCTTATGGGACGTCTGTCACTGAACAACACCACTTGCGACGTTGCCAATTCTACCAGGCCGCGGCCTGTAGTAGTTAAAGGGGCCGTGGTGCAGCACTATTATTATTTTTTTAAATTTATGACAACAGCAAATTTGTATCAAGCAGAAACAAAAAGCTGTGCAACATGCAATGGATTGATTTTTTACAGTTATGTTTATGTGGCCAGTTAATTCTAATAATAAATTAATAAAAGTCTATCTACATAAAGAAGATCTAGGGAACATAAGAACTGTTCTATTTAGTGTTCTCAAGCTGCTTGCCATTATTTTCAAGGAACCAAAAATTGTCTCTTCCGCGTCTTGACCCCGTTGCAAGGCACGGGTATAGCGGCTAGTACATTATACCATAGACTAAGCATGATTTATCTATGATTATACTTACACTTGTTAGTTTGGGGGTTTGGAGACCCTGCATTCCCAGGAATACCCCGTTGGTGAGCTATAATCGAGAAACAGCCGTTGTGCGCTATTGTTGCATTGTTGGATTTGAATGCCGCGCCAAAATGGCACCAGTGGCGCTGCGGCGGGACACACACGAACAACATTCACCATCAACATAACCGCCAACCGGACAATCGAGCTCGCCTCTAAGCTCCTGACTGATCACTTATTGCGAACGAAAAAACTGGCCACAGAAAAAGTAGAACCTCCTTGTTGATGAAATGGTTGATGACTGTGGCCTGGCGACTCTGTCTGCTATATCATAGCTTAAACAGACGCAATACCAATAACCTCATTTACAAAAAAAATACTAAAACCACACCATTCTAGACAGACCCAACTTAAAACTTAAATTATAAGCTAAAAACAAAACTTAACTGTTATCCGTGGCATTTAATTCATTTATGATTCCTGACGGAGATAGATTTATATGCCATCAGCTTAAAGCTAGGTATAAGATTTTAAAGAAAGAGTACAAAGTAGTTGTAAAAAAATTCAAGAGATAATTATTATAATCATAATGGTTTGATTCAGAATTGTCTGGGACATTACATTTAGCCCGTTTTTGAAACATTTCGTCATAATTAACAAACGATTTAATCGCCAAATGAAAAAAGCACAGCAGTATTTTATAGAAAAAACTATAAAATATTTATTTTAGCGAATTTCCCATTTAGGGAATAAGCTATTACCGTAGTACTCATGGTAAGACCTGGACGCGGGACCGATTTTTTTTCGTTTTGAGGTCCCTAGAGGCCAAAAACACCATCCGTTCAAATTCATATATATATATATATATTTATATATTTATATTTATATATATGTGTGTGTCCGTCAGCACGATAACTCGAGCAAAAATGATCCGATTTTGATTAAATTTGGTACAAACGTGTAAACGTACGTTTAATCGAACGAGTTCGCGATCCAGCATGATCGGACCATGGGAACGGGGGTTTACGGGGGGTTTTATGGGGTAAAAATAGGGTTTTCCCATTTTGACCCAGAAAACATAAAATTTAGCAATTTCTTTCCAAACCATTTTGTAGAGCTTAAAAAAACAAATAATTTAGTATATTAAAGCGTTATTATGCGCCAAATGGTTACGGAGAAAATTCCAAAAAATTGTAAATTTAAAATTCCCATGTTATTCTTATGGAGAATAAGTAAACTGTTGTAGTTTGCTTGTTTGTGAACTAACTATTCACATTTTACAAAAAAAAAAACAAAAAAAATAAACAGTTTTACCCTCCCTGATGCAGCAAACCTAAGTACTTGTTAAACTAATTCTATTTAAATCAAGAATAAATGTTATATTTTTAAGTAGACATTTCAGTGTAAATCCAGTCAAATGGAAATTCGCTTAGTCCGCAGGTTTGCTGCGGCGGGGGTATTTGTATACTTGCCTTTATAACTATGTATATTCATGTAGGGCAATAAGTTTACTTTCATTTTATATAGTTGGTGCTTGGGGTTTAAAAAATAATATATACGTGTGAATAACAAAATGTTTTTCTAGACAAATTTAAACATTTATTAAAAGTCATAAATATTTATTGAAATGCAGTATACATAAACAATTCTTACTTCATTTGATCTCCAATATTATTGCCTTATTTTTACTTTATCTCTTGATTATACATTTATTTGGTTTTTATTTGAAATTTGTTGTGCAAAATCGTGAAACTTGTCATTTTATTGTTTTTGGACCATAACTTTGTATAAATGGTAATTGGAATCTTTTTACATTTCCATGTAGGGAAATAAATTCCAAACAATTTTTATATATTATGAAACATTTTTGGTTCATGCAGCAATTTTTCTACCTACTGACAATATTTTCTACAATATTTTTAGTATTTATTTTGTTGCCATTTTCAAATTAATTCTTCATTTCATTACGAACACTTCAAGTTGGAAATAATAAATACGGTTCATAGGTTTGATCTGTTGGTTTAGTTTATATGAATTTTCGAAAATATGACTGCAAAGTCGCCAAAAATGCCTTGCCACTACAGAGTTCGCCCATTGCTAGTTGGAGGGTTAACGAAACCCGCTTTAAAAAATCACACCATAAGTTAAAACTACATTATTATAAACACAATTATTAATATGCGCGTAGATGCCGAGCGACATATGCACTGCCGTGTTAGGCTACCGTCACGCCTCGCGCCGATGTATCTCCGCTACATCACTGTGGATTGGCGGGGCGGGGGAGGGGAAGTAGGATCAGGCGGCGACCGCTAACATCAAAGGAGTGAGCCAGCCCTTGTATATCTGTAGCCCTGGACCAGGGGTTTCTAAATATTGAAGAGGCAGTGTCTAACTGGAGAAAAAGTACACAAATTCATAGTATTTGAACATTATGGTATTGTCTTACACCGGGAGCTAGTTCTGCTTGCAAAGAAGAGCAATCACGTTATAAAAGATATAAAATTACCTGAGTACTGCCAGAGTGATCCTGTTTGACAATAGGGAGTATGTTTAATCTATGATGATATTTAGATATGTTTCTTACTCAGGAACAATGCCCTAAAATTTTGATAGAGAGCTCCGGGACACTCTGTATAGTCATTGAACCATGTTCTATTTTTTGTGTGAAGATTATAATTAAATAATAATACATATTTTTACATTCATTAGAGTAGGTTAAGTTAATAGGATTCTCTAGGGCTAGGGGTATCACAATACAGTATCCACACTTGATTTTGTAGAGGAATCTCTAAGTATATTCTAAATTCAATGACTTCACTTACGGTTATCCTAATTATTGTCTAATCGGCGTATATTTTTTTCATTAGCCTGTTAGGGAATTAGGGATAACACCTGTGAGTTGTGTCGTCGATCGTCGTCGTCTGCTGTCTGCAAAAATAAAAATTTACGAATTTCTAAAATCTGATCTGTTTTATTTGACGAAAAAAATGTAAACTGAAGTAATTTTGAAGAATGTAAAGAATTAGCTCAACGTTTGTATGTGGCTATAAGGTAAACTTTCCGGATTTGTAAAATGCTCACCATAAATACAAAGTATTGTAGCCCCTATAATATAATTACCATTATTAGTTTCATTGCTCTGTTTGAGGTTAGGTTTTTATTTTAATTTTGTAAGAGACTAAAAAAGTTAACTGATGAGAACTTAAACAAATTGTTGTTCAGTTTTTACAAAGGCTAAGTTTATATTTATTTTATAAAATAAAATACATTCCTACTAGTTAGCCTAAATGTAGAGCCTATTTAAATTATGAATTTTAAATTAATTTGTTGTGCTTATTTTGAGCCTTATTTAATTTATAAAGGGATTCTGCAAACCTACAGGAAAATATCTTGGGTCCACTTCCATATCTGTTGGCACAAACAACCGAATAATTAGGGCCTAATATAGATTATTCAATTGTTTAATTCGATATATTGTTTGGTTGGTTAGTTCGTTCTTGGGTGCCTAATACAATTTTTTGATGATCACAAAATTTTGTCAGATTTTCAGCATGGCTTTCGGAAGGGTCGGAGCACTATCACTGCTGCTGTTGATTTTGTTCACACTGCTCTTGAAAAACTTGATGAAGGTTGTAAAGTGGCAGCGCTTCTGCTAGACCTTTCGAAGGCCTTTGATCGGGTTGACCATTCTATCTTATTGGCAAAACTGATTGGCTATAAAGTTCCAGGATGGTTGGTGAGTCTGGTGGAATCTTATTTAAAAAATCGCCAACAATGCACCACAGTTTCTTTTGATGATGGTACGACAGAGAGAGAACATAGGTCGGAAACACGAGTGGTAACCTCAGGGGTTCCGCAGGGCTCAATTTTAGGACCTTTTCTGTATATAGTTTATGTAAATAGTTTTATTGTCATGGATAATGTTTTTGCATGTATGTATGCAGATGATACTTCTGGGCTGTGCTGGGCAAACAATATGGTAAATCTTAAAGCTTTATTAACCAATTTTTCTGAAGCTGCCAATGCTTATTTTTTGGAAGTAGGTTTAAAGGTAAACTTAAGTAAGACTGATCTTGTACATTTCTCAATTGGTCGCAATGTTCCGGCTTTTAGCATCTCAGGTGATAATATGACTCTGGATGGTAATGATTTTTGTAAATTTCTTGGAATATTTTTTGACAAACATTTTACATGGGATAAACACATCGACCATGTTGGTGCTAAAGTCTTGAGTGGTATTTCTTTGCTAAGAAGACTTTCAAACTATTTGGACTGTGAAACATTAAGGTCAGTCTATTTTGGAGTGGTGTATCCATATCTGGCTTATGGGCTTGTCCTGTGGGGAGGTTCTTTTCACACTTATACCAAAAGAATTTTTCTGTTACAAAAAAGAGCTGTACGTTTGGTAGCAAAAGTTAGCCCAAGGACTCATAGCAAAGACATTTTTGTGTCAAACAACATTATGACTTTGTACGCAATGTATGTATACCAGGTTATATGTTTGGTAAAATTTAACTTTAGTTCTGGTATTTTAATTTCTAATGTAGGACAAATGCATGACCATAACACTAGACAGTGTAATGATTTTTTCAGAGTGAGAAGACATTTCAAAAGGACAGAGAATAGCCCTTATGTCAAGGGAACAATTTTTTTCAATAAGTTACCAAACTGCATAAAGAAACTAGAAGGTAAAAACTTCAAAATGGAATTAAAAAAATGGCTTATTAATAAATGCCCAGACAGTCTTGAAATGATTTTTTAAGTTGAAGGTATGCCTATTGTGTAAGTAGATTGGTTTGTTTGCCTCAACAGGATTGTTTTATTGTAGAGTAGAAAGCATGGTTTTTGTTCTTTCTAACTTAAGTTTGAGTTTTATTGCATGGTTTGCACTGTATGATATGCTACTTATTTTATAATCTAAGTATTTTGACGATTGCAATGCATGTTATATGATGTTAAAAGCAATAAAGACATTTCATTTCATTTCATTTCAACTAACCAAACGATTTATCAAACAAGCGATATATTGATCGATATTTTAATTCGGTTGTTTGTGCCAACAGATATGGAAGTGTACCCAATATCTTCTAACTGTAAGTTATGTGTAAATGCAAATTTACCCTGCGATGCACACGAGCTGAGAAAAAAAGCTTAAGTCAAGTATGAACGGAGATGAGTGTAGGCGCGATCATGTAGTCTTGTTAGTGACTAAGGCCGACATATTCCTTAGACACAGCTGTTAATTAATAGCCCATACAGCCAATGGCAACTAAGGGACTTAAAACAGTTTTTGGTGGAATCCATAATTTTTTATATAGGTACCACTACTATTGTGTACTTTTATATTCAGTATTCAATGTTAAGGTAACATATTAATATATCACTGTCTAATGTAACTTAGTTTTGTCAATTTTTTTCAGACATAGGCCTACTTTCAAAGAAGACTGGGAGCTTTACTTTTTTTGCAATATATAATATTAGGCCTAACATAAAATGGCTATTCCAAAAATTATGAAGTTAAACATACCAAAAATGTATTCTCAGTGTTTACATTTAAATAGTAAAATTTGTGCTGTATCTTCTGTAAAAGGTGTGAACCACAATGCAATCCACACCAGTCCCAAAAATAGTTTATTTTTTGAGTCTGATCCAAAGGGTGAATACAAGAAATTTCGACAGAAACTATCTCCTAAAGATCATGTTAGAAATGGACTTAAACTTGTTAGAGAGGAAATCGAAGTTTGGAAAGGTGAAGTTAGAGATGCTTGGGAAGGAGAGTTTTTCCTTAAAGGAATGCCAGGTAAGGCTGGATTATAAATTGGAGTATATTAGACCTACTATGAATTCCTTTGCCATATTTTGCTTACATCTTACATCTTACATCCGGCGTCTTCTCCACGATCAGCCGATCGGGGAATCGTCAATTCAAACTGCAGGGTCTTCTTTCTTCACGAGGCGAGACGTGAGAAAGTGTGGTCAGACACAAAGTCTGAGATTTTATAGTAGGGCCTATCAGCAAGGTATTGTTTAAGTTTTATGTTGAATGTGCGTGTTGGTGGTAGATTTTTTAGGTCTTGAGGCAAGAGATTGTAGAAAAATGAGCCAGAATAGGTTGGGGTTTTGTTAAATTTTTGGAGTCTATGCTGAGGTAGGTCAATATTGTGTTTGTTGCGAGTGTTATAGGAATGTTTCTCTTGTCGTAGGGTTGGGGATTGTTGTCTGGCCAGGATTATGGTTTCATAGATATAGAGGGAATAGACGGTAAGGATTTTGTGTTGGGTAAAAAATGGTTTGCAGTGCTCCGAGGGTTGCAGGCGCAGTATTGTTCTAAGGGTCTTCTTTTGCCGAACCAAGATGCGGTCTGTGTTCTTCTCCTGGGTGGATCCCCAGGCGACGATTCCATACCGCAGATGGGAAGAAAAAAGTGAGTGGTAGGCCAGAATTGCAGTGTTTTCATCAGTTATAGCTCTAATGCGTCTAATTACGTGGTGAGCCGTAGCTAATTTTTTGCAGAGATGGTCGGTGTGATCTTGCCAACTCAAGTTTTGGTCTATAATAACTCCCAAGAATTTGGTTGATGCGGTAACGGGAATCTTCAATCCTTGCCAGTCCTCATCAGCTCTATTACTGTTGTTTGGCTTGAATCTTATGTGAACGGTTTTTGTGGTGTTAATGCTGAGTTTAAGAGACTTGCAGATAGAGGTAGCCTCGTCCAGGGTTGAATTGACTATGTTGCTATTGTTCTCATGGTACTTTGTAGGGATTACTATTGTTGTATCGTCTGCGTAGAGTATGGTTCTCAGATTATGGTTCAGTGACTCTGGTAGGCTATTAATATAAATTAAAAAGTACAAAGGACCCAATATCGATCCCTGTGGGACTCCTACCACTGTTTTCATTAAGGATGATTTGACGGTTCCAATTGTGTTGTGGTGCTGATAGCCTAATTCGACAAATTGTTGCCTGTCATCAAGGTAATTTTTAACCCAATTTAGAGCTAGGTCCGTGATATTGAACAGTTTAAGTTTCTGAAGAAAAATTTCCCAGTTTAAATTGTCAAAGGCTTTTTGTAGATCCAAAAAAAGAGCTGAAGCGCTACACTTATTTTCCCACAGATCATTTATGGTTTTGCATAGATGAGCTATTGCCGTGTTGGTACTATGACCCTTTCTGAAACCGTGTTGGCATGGAGATAAAAGATTGTAGTTTTGAAGGTGGGTGGATAATTGGTTATAAATAGCACGCTCAAGCAGTTTAGATATGACTGGCAGATTTGAAATTGGTCTGTAATTATTGGGTTCATGTTTGTCGCCCTTTTTAAAGACAGGGTAGATTTTTGCTATCTTTAACTTCTCAGGCACTGTGGCTTGTTGTATGGAGCTATTGATAATATGGCAAACAGGCTTTAATAGCTCTTCCTTGCAGAACCTGAGAATCTTCCCTGTGACATCATCAAATCCCGCAGAGTTGTTAGGCTTAATACTGCTACAGAGTTTATCCAATTCCCGTTCAGATATGTAGTTGAAAGAAGACAACGGTGGCACTCCTCTGTCAGGTTCCATCAGCTTGATGTCATTTTCTGGTTGGTTGGTGGTATGTTCCAGGGTAGGCTGTGTATATAATTTGTTAAAAATATTGCTCACGTAATAAGGGTCATGTATTAGTTTGCCATGTTGCATTAGGCTAATTTGTTTTTGTTGTGTAGTGCTCTTCTTTCTCTCATTATTAACTATATTCCATATAGCTTTAGTTCTATTGTCAGCCTGAGCTATTTTTTCTGCAGTGTGGCGTCTTCGTGTACTATTAACTTGTTGGTCGTAAGCTCTCTTTATGTCGTGGAAACCTTCCTTGTCGTCCTCTGCACCAGTGAGCAGATATTTGTTGTGGGCAATTTGCAGAGCTGCTTTTTGTTCCAAGATGTCCTTGTCCCAAAAAATATTTTTGTTTGTTGTTGAGACCCTCTTTGGTTCCTTAGGCATAATGTGGTCCATGTTGAGTCGAAGAATCCTTAGAAAGTTGTTATATTTTTCATCCACAGATCTCAATGCATAAACAGGCGCCCAATCCACTGTACTTAGTTTTTCCTTTAACTCTTTCAATTTAGCCTTAGAAAAATTTCTTGAGTATTTATAGGTAGCTGGCTGGTGTTTATTCTTATTTTTAACTTTACATATTAAATAGTGGTGATCCGAAAGACTGGTCAGGTGTGCTTGTACAGATATTTCATCTGGTTGTAAGTTGGTGTAACATCCGTCAATAATCCGCTTGGTTGTCTATGTATGACATGGACCAATCTGTGATAGGCCTATGGTAATGAATTATGTAATGTAACCTGTGGTTCTAAATATGAGTATCCGGCAGGATTGTTTGGGCTGGTGCATTAAAATTTTGTTAATAGCCTTTGCCAACGGGTTATAAGCTAGTTACCAATACATTACAACAAGATTTTCTAATTTTTTCACATTAATCTGAAGAACAATAAGTGAACAATAAGTGACTGACTTTAAATAATAGCACCAAAATAGTATGAAACTAAAACTAGCTTGCACCTGGTGCTCAGTACTTCATTCATGTAGAATTCATCAATTGTGAAAATGTTTATCCTTCTCAGGGAAGGTTCAGATGTATGGGTTGGTAAAATAATTTAAATAACAAACATATTTCAAGAATACATGTTATGGTAACCACCTAGTAGAAAAATATGATTGGCGTCTTATTTTATCCACAAATTTAACTAAAATATATAACATGCATAGTAAACTGACACGTATACTTTCTTTCATTAGCTTGACTTTAAAATTGTGTGTTGATGTATATTGTTTACAGGGCGGAAAAAAAGTCCTGGGACAGTTAAATATTTCAAAAAGTAACAAAGATAGAGCTTCAAAACTTGGTACACTACACAGTTACTGGGGCATTAAAATAATTTTAACACGTTTGCTACCGCAATAGTACAAAAATTTTCATTCATATAGGCCAGCGACACACATATGCGATGGCCGGTTTCTACCCATAGACTGCATATATGCGACCGCTGGTTGCATTAAAATAGACTGACATTGCATATTTGCATCGGTGTCCCAATGTTACTAAAAAGCTATATCTCTCTGTAACGATCTATTTGAAGGCCCTGAATTCTCTGCCGTGGTCTACAGGGATGTCTGTCGCATGTGCGTCGATTGGTCTTTGGATATGATATGATGATTCGTGGCAATATATGATACTTGACAAAACTGTTATTTACTTTGCTGTATCACTGGCCTGTGGTCTGCGTGTATTGTTCACAAAGTGACACCCAGTCTGTATGTAATCTTAAAATGTATACCTGGACATCGGTTCGTGGCTATGACCGCAGCATTGCAAATATGTGGCGATCGGTACCAAATGTGTTAACACATTATTCAGTGATGCGCTACACAGGGGGACAGCTCGCTAGGAGTCAGAAGAGAATCTTAAATGTAAGCATAGGTTGATATGCACATCAAATTAAAGGTATTTACTAGTCTAATACAATGCTGCAAATTTGAACTCAAACGGACAACCGAGCGTTAAGCAGGCTTACATAAAACTTGTTTGTGCTAATTCTTCAGTGTATATAATTTTATATGTTAAAAGAATCAACAGAAGAAAGTGAACTTTAGATTCTGAAAAGAGAACGGATGGTTCAGACAAGGGCCATAAGATATAAAATCTTCAACAATTGAACCCATGTTATCATTTTCTGTTCTCTATATGGAAAGAAAGGTGCACTCCGCACGAACCACAGTTCGGACGGAGTGCTGTGGGCGAACCACAGTTAGGATGAAGTGCTGTCACGGGCGAACCACAGTCAGGACGGATGTGTCGATCTTGGGGAAAGGGTAGAAGCTAATCTGCAAAATAGGACTACACGAACACCTTCAATACAATTAATATGAATAAAACAGCTAAATGCTTTTCTCCTTAGAAGGAGGGTGAGAGTAACTGTCAATTTCTTTTATAATTGTTCAATCAAGTTCGTTGTACATATAAAAATATCAAATTATGTGAAAATATACGGTACAGTATAAGTATACTAATGTATGGTAAGTAAATAAAAGAAATGTCTTATAACACTTAAAACATATATTTGCGCTTATTTATACTGTTACTCACGAGACGGTAAATATACAAAAAAGATGGTAAGTGGTGATTGATTTCGATTGGACACTCCAATCATCATCAGACCCAATAGGTGAATGTCTGATGATGATTGGAGTGTCCAATCGCAATCGATCACCACTTACAATATTTTTTGTATATTTACCGTCATGTGAGTAACAGTATAAGCGTAAATATATGTTTTAAGTGCTAGAAGACGGTTCTTTTATTTACTTTCCGTAAATTTAATAACACACACAATGCTGATCAAGAAGTTATTCAATGTATGGTATCTACAGATTTTTTTAATGGGAAGAATCACAAAAATTGCAATATAATATTTATATATTTACTAACCAAGATAGTTTGTAGTGGGGATTGTGTCATTTTGTTAGGGTTAGAGGGTTAAAAGAACTATAACATAGGTACTTCTAACATAAGTATACATAGGTACAACAAATAATTCACAGCTACTTTCCAATCCAGGTGTCCAGAAGATCCCGGTTTACAGTACTATACTGAAATCTTTTGGTCTAGTATAGAAAGCAAATCAAGTGACTTTACCCATACCTTTTCCAGGCTCTTGTTTTGGCCAGCAGGATCAGTTTGTATCATTATGTTAAAACTTTTAATGTACTATTCTGAGGCTCAATAATTGTGTTGAACTTATTTGACTTTGCTCATAAAAACAATCTTACCTTTAGAATGAGTTCCTCATGAAACTATACAAGAAATCTACTAGTTATTCTCTCAACTGTATTTTAGGTGTGATGGATGTGGCTTTTGAGTTCAAATGTGAGAATGATCTATCAAGATGGATTGCAACAAGTGATAAGGATAATTTAGAAGGAGATAGCTCTTGTCAACTGGTTATCAATGATAATGGCAAAGGTCTCTTTACTGGAAATTTGTGTGTGGAAGTCCCCAAGGATGGGAAACTGAAGAGGACTGGTTACTGTAACATACGATCAATACGTTGTAAGGTAGGTTCCGTTACTATGATAGTTCATCTTTATAGGTCAGTGTGTAAATTGTTACCAATGAATAAAGAACCTTATAAGAAGCGAAACCGCCTTATTAAAAGAGACTACGCTAGAGAGATTGCCACCAGCCGTAGCTCACGAAGACTACGGCTGGCAACGCTAGCCCTTCCTACATAAGTCTTTGTGAACTACGGCTGGCGGCAATCTTCGTAGCCTTGTCTCTTTTAATACGGCGGTTTCGCTTACAAGGTTCTGTATTCATTGCTGTTACTGATGGTCCGGCTACCAGCTGCCAGTTGTGGGAAGTAAAGTTTAGCCGCAGGCACCAGGCTACCACTACACAGGGTGTGGTCTGCACTTTAGTTTACGTCCTACACTCATTTGAATGAATATATTGATTATTTCTTCCGATTTACCAAGTTTGGTTAGTTAGGTTAAAACCTAACCTAACTAACCGAATGAAATAATCGATATATCAAATAATCTACATATCGATGTTTCTCATTCGAATGAGTGTCTATTTGCAGAAAGTCTTTAAGCTTTTTTTTTAAATAATTTTTTTTACATGCTTGGAATTGATTCTTTTAAATAGAGCAGAGACCTTATTCACCAGTCTTGTACGGACTTTCATGTCAACTTGTTTATTGTTAATTAACATGAAAAACTTTTAAAAGTTGTTCATGTTCATTTCACACAACAAGGTTCACAGTAAAATTTTAACAAAACTAAAAAAAAAAAAAACTGTACTTTAACTAGTGGTTAAAATACAGTTCAACCTTGTTTATAAATAAATTATCATCATCATCATCATGGCCAATGACCCAATGACAGTTACGTTTTATTCTTCTACAATGTTGGCCTACATAAAATAAGTGAAAATGTTTAATTGTATTGTAGAAGTCGTTCCAACGGGAATCACATTATGACTGGGGAATGTACACACACCTAGTATTGAGGGTGCGAGGTGATGGTAGAACCTATGGTCTCAACCTCTCAACTGCTGGCTATTTCGATATCACCTGGAATGACATGTACCAGTATGCTTTGTTTACTCGAGGAGGCCCTTATTGGCAGTATAGTAAGGTAAGTAAACTAGTTAAAAGTGTTTGATACAACCTACTCTAGCCTAACCTCAAATTGCGATTGCAATCTAGGGAAAATTAAGGCTTTATCTTTTAATCTAGGTTTTAAACATGTCTATTGATGATAAGAGAATACTTAACATCCGCTCTTACAGTTATGATCCAGAACTCAGAAATTTTAATCATACACTACACATTATTTTAGGATTAAGACATTGTGTGACTGTGTAATAAGTATTTGCTCAGTTGACACACAACTGGTAACTGGACATTCAATGTACCTGTGATGTATTTGTTATTTTTTTATTTTATGGTTTGTCTGTCTTACTGTAAGTGCAAGCAGAGGCTCTGCCGACCCCGTTCTTGCCACATACCATTGTGTGCCTCACTCATCAATTTGATTGATTACAAAATCTCCTTCTCCTTAGACTTAACACAATCTCTCATGTTTGTCACAAGTCTTGAAAAAGTAATAACTACTTTTAGCGAATTTCCTTATAGAGAAGTAGCTATTACCATTGACTTTATATCTCTATAAAGTCAATGCTATTACCGTAAGTGGCACAGTACGACCTGAACAATGGACCGATTTACTTTTTTATTTTGATGCCCCTAGACGCCAAAAACACTATTCGTTCAAATTTTTATATATAGGCCTATACAGAGTGACTGATATAAGTGTGCCAGCTGTTTTATTCAAAATTATAAGAGACTAGCAAAGTACCCGTCCTTCGTACGGGGTTGGCATACTAGGTGTACAATGCAGTTGCCTGCTTGCAATTGAGCGGAGCAAGCACGTGAATCAATAATTATGATAAATGTAACGACAAATTTATTGTTTACGTCATAATTAGTTTTAGTTTAATATTAATATATCTTAATATATTATTTAATTTAATTTGATATATCTGAAGATTGCAGTACCGTTGAAGTAGGCCTAACCCCATTTGAACCACGAACACCCACTTCACAATAACATCACCACACCATCCTTTAAATTTAAATGATCACTAAAACGGACAAAATCGTAGTACCTATGGCTACATACTCTAATAAATCTGTAATAATATCACGAGACTTACTAAAAGTGTTAACTTATTAGTTCATAAAATATTTCATACAAATACAACCCGTTTGCCGGTAGGTGTACAACATCACGTAACACGGGCGGCGGGAATCGGGATGTAAACAAAGCACACTACCGCCATAGATAAAACATAGTCCCTTAGCTTAGCTAGCGCTCAGCACTCTCAGCAATAATATAGATCCCACCACATTAGCGAATTTCGAGTAGTGGAGGGAGAGCTCACTCGCCACTCGGTTGCCGCCAGTACAGTGCTAGTGCATCTCACCGGCCATGCTAAAACTGACGAGTTGTGTTATGTTTTATATTTATGCTTGATTATGAGCACAGATATAAAAAAACATCATTACACAATCATCATCGCACTATCAAATCATTCTGTGGGCACCCCTGACTCAGATTGCAAACACCATTTCACCATTTAGAAAAATTATATAAACAAAAACGATCAAATCAAAACAAATAATATTATGTATTTATATGGAAATAGGTGATTTTTTGTTTGCAATCTGGGTGACGTCAGCATATGACGGGAATAGCACACCTATGTATTTTCCTACCATGATTACACACTGCAAAAATCATATCAGGTCAACTATACTACGTTTTTTTTAGCAAATTTCCCTATAGGGAAGTATTTAGCAAATTTCCCTATAGGGAAGTAGCTAGGTGGCACGGTAAGACCTAGGCCCGGGACCAATTTACTTTTTCATTTTGATGTCCCCAGAGGCCAAAAACACCATTTCGTTGCCTAAGAAACAACTCCGCCTAAGTGACATTTCCCAGATTTTACAGGAGGAAGTAAAAACGTTATAAAAATTGTCATATTACAATGAGAATCATATAATTTCTTTTTCTGAATGGGTTAAGGCCCTTGTTAATGATAATAGACTTGATTTTGGCATTCAATAGAATTATAATAAAATAATGGAGATAGGCGGTGTTGTCCTTATTTATTTTTGATTTTTGGAGATAGGCAGTGTTGAAAATGTGAGACCAATGGTTTATAGCAACATATTTTATTAATAAAAATTACAAAAACGTCATTTTAAATGTTGCTACCAATAAAAACTTACACATATTAATAACATGTAGCACTATAGCTTGTCAAAATTGAAATTCAGCCATACATGAACACTTCATAACACTTTTATACAGTGAAAAAGATAAAAAAGGTTGGAAATAAAGTAATAATAATAATAAAATAAACAAGGTAAAATTGTGGGAATATGTTCACCTTAACTTAAAAGTATTTTATAACTTATATCAATAGCCTGACCCTATCAAAAAATGCCACTTTTAACGTAATTAAAAAGTTAAGTTGGGCCAGTTCAACTTAGGGCAACCTAAAAGGATTAGTTGCTATCAATAAAAACTTAAAATATAAATTACATGTTATACTTTGGCTCATCAAAATTGAAATTCAGCCATACATGAACACGTTATACAGTGAAATGGACAAAAAAGGTTAACAATAAAATAATAATAATGAAATAAAATAAACATGGTAAAATTGTAAAGATGTGTACCTTCTTAAAAAAGTATTTTAAAACTTATATCGATAGCTTAACCCTGTCCAAAAATGCTACTTTTTACGTAATTAAATAGTTAAGTTGGGTCGGATCAACTTAGGGCACCCTAAAAGGATTAAAAATCTATTCCTTACATGTTTTGACAATCTAGCTTGAAACAAATGGAATATTGTCGTAATAGTCATGACAATCTGTTGGGATGTGAGCTTTTAGTTCTTGAAGATGGTCCCATTTTGATTTCTTGATTTTCAGTCTTGAGCTGTTCAACTGGGGAAAGTTAACACACCCAGAGATTGGTTTTGCTCTTACGGGCAAGGGTGTATAGTCATCGTCAAAATTGAGTTTGTAGTCGATGGTTCCATTAGGATTGTACCTTAAGGCTCGCAGGTCAGTAACTTTGGGATCCCCTAGTTTTTTACCAGGCCGAATCGATTCGTAGGTCATTGTTTCTTTTTGTGAGAAGTTACGAAAAAACGTAAAATCAAGGTACTCAGACCTATATGGGAAGGGGTACTTTCTTGCCTCCCTTGCAAGTTGCGCATATTGACTTGGTAGATAGATCTCCTTAACAGTCTTTTTGTTTTTTGACCCTCTCTTAGGGTTTAAGATTGTATCGATTGTAGAGTGGACGCTGTCGCACTCCATCATGGTGTGACCTTTAACAAGGTATTTCTGTTCAATGACGACCTTATGTTCTTTAGCTAAATTTAATAATGCGTTAGACATGGTGCTGCTTCTATTTTGGTAGCAGCATCCATCAGACCATAGAACAACAGGTTTCAAGTCAGTGCTTAATGTTTTTCTTAAATTGTCTACAACACACGATGAAAATGAGGAAGCACTTAGGTCACTTTGTGTCTCATCCCACCAATAAGTCATCGCATCCTTTGTGGTATTGTTAAACATGGTGAAATTGTGGACACATAATTTTGTTTTGTAATACATTGCTGAGGCGTTGACGCACGGAGCCAGCTTGACAGCTTGTGTGTCTTGGGTGAACATATGTATTTCTTCATCTTCTCCTCTTTTTTTTATCACTTTCCTTTTCTTTGCGTGCTCTATCTTTTTGAGTAATGTGTTCTTCGTACTCTGCTTTAGAAACCATGCCGCTTTTAACTTTGTAACTGTTACATGTGTCACATACATCTTTCTTGGGTTGAAATATGGAATAGTTTTCATTCTTAAATATTTTGTCAAAAGTATTCCTACTCAATACGTTCTTATCAGAGCTTTTACATGTTTCTACATAGCAATCATATAATTCGGTAATAGAATCAAAGGTAGGTTCTATATACAGTTTAGTAGAACTTGACCAACAATAATGCGAAGGAACTTTTGGTAAGGAACTTAAGTAATCCTTAAGAAAATTTACCTCCTCCCTCTTCTTTGTTCGTCCTTTCTTTGATTCCTGCGTGACTTTTGACGAAGCAATAATCTTATTGCAAGTTTCTAAGGTTTTGGTTCTTCCATGTCCTTCTTGATTGACCCAATAACGTACAGTCCACTTTTTAATGCTTAAGTATTTAGGAATGTATGTTGGCATACTTGGACGCGCTCGTTTCGTACGATAAGGAAATACTTCAGTGTTCCACTACGTCTCGAATCATCAGCTTTGGTTTTAATTCGTGAAACAGCAACCTTATCTACTAGACCAACAATATAAACCTTTCTTTGGTCCCAGGTCATTGTTTTCCAAAAACTATCAAAAATTGATTGTCTATCTTCTTCCGTAATTATGTCACAAGCTCTAAGCTTTGATTTTAAACATGCTTCTGATTCACAACGAGGACCTAAAACCCTAGGTTCTTTTGGTACATCATGAGCTGTTTTTCCACCACCACATCTTCTGTGCCCCATATAAGCGTCTCCCTTTTCTCTCTTCTTATAGTTTACAACTCTTTTCCAATTGTGTTTGTTGTCTTTTTTTCTGAGTTTTATTGGCATATTTTGACCATCCTGGGGTTCTTCTTGATTATTAGCAGTTATATGTTGATCTTCTGTGATGCTGCCTTCTGCATTTACTTGATCAAGTTGATTTGGTGGCCCTTCGATGTTCTCATCATTTTCACTGTCATTTATATTTCTTGTGAGCTGTCGTGCAGTTTGAGAATGATTTTCATCTACCTCTATATCTGAAAGATCTGAACTCGGCAAATAATCAGGGTCATCGGGGTTCGATTCCTCATCAGCGAATGAGTAATGTCCATATCTCTTTCTTTTTTTAAGCATTTGTTGGTTTTCTGGGTCTTTTTCAATCACACTAGAAGACCTTATCTCAACTTCATTAATAAAAGAATCATTTAATGAGATTAAATCCGAACTCGGCAAATAATCATGGTCATTGGGGTTTGGTTCCTCATCAGAGAATATTAAGTCATTTTCATA